TTTTTTTTAATAGAAAAATCCCGTTGCCTCACCTTACAAACATGTTGGCAAGTCCATGTGAGTTGCCTCCATAAGAACAAAGAACATGAAAGTGTTGAAAGAAGAGACAAAGAAGCTCTAAAAAATTATAAAATTTTGAGTTTGGAATTATTCTTTTATATGAAAGATGGACGGACCCCATTTTCTTATATTATCTCCCTAGGGATGTCCTAGATTGCCTTATAATGAACTGCCCGATGAAACTGAAATCAACCATATAATAGTTGACTTATTATGTAGTTTATATTCTTATTCTATTTATATATTCAATATTCAATATGTTGTCCCTTTTTTTCTATACTCTATTGTTTTATTTCATGGCCTTATAGCCTATTTACCCATCCTTTATATAGCATAATTTTATTGTACAACCCCTACTATTATATTAAAAACGAAGTGATAACTTTTATGTTTCATGTATACATACAATGTTTTCTACAGTTTCTTGTGTTTCTAAATCTATACGTTTGGGAAAAGCAGAATTATATATAGTATTTGCAATTTCAACATGAAAAAAAGGTTGAAGATTTCTAAACCATCACCGATTTTATGGTGGGTGAGAGAATTAAGCATTGGATAATGCCAATTGACTAGGCTTAAATCAGGGTGAAAATTTATTTCTCATTCTAATCCTCATATATTTTTCTTTCCTTCCAAAATAAAACTTCTGTTATGATATTATCCAATACATTTTTATGTGATTATGAAGTTTTCTTGTTTATTTTTAGAGTAAACAACTTTTTCCCACACAAATAATAGCTTAATGACACTTACCCACCCACAAACTTTTATAATATCATTTTACTACCCAAATTTATATTCCGTTTTCGATTTCGACATCTTGTGACCTCACACCACCACAACTATTCTCTTCCCCGATCATCATTCACCAAAACCACTCAAACCCTACTCTCATCGACCTCGTCAGTCGTTGGCAATCAAGCAATTAGGGTTTGCGCAACCCTTCCTCTTAAATCAAATTATGACTAATCCCAACCACCAAAATCCAACCTTTCACCATCAAAAGACTCATCGTCTCTCCTCTTCAAAAACCATAACAGTCTGGACCGAGTTTGCTTTCTATTTGCCAACGGTATATAAATTTGGATAGTAAAATGGTATTTTAAAAGTTGTGGGTGGAAAAATATCATTAAACCATTATTTGGGTGTGAAAAGGTCATTAACTCTTATTTTTATTATTTAATTTCAAAATAAAAAATCTAAATTTGAAAAGTATTCCAAAAATTCGTGGAATATGTATATTTTTTTAAAAATTCTTAATATTAAAAACCTCATCAAAAGGACAAAACGATGAATTAATTTAATTTTCCATTTTCACATGGCTGAATAGTGAAGCCCTTATGTCACAACAAATATTCATATATGATAATTGGTTTGAACAGAATCCTATACCTCATCATCATCTCTTTACTTATATAATCCACGTACATTAAATTATTTTATATATCATAAAACCAGAAAACCAACCTGAAAACCTCGTTCTGATAGAGACAATGAACATGGGTGAGGAATTATACTCTACAAAGGCACAAACCTCTTTATTTTATTTCTTTTTCCTTCCTTATCTATCCGACAAGCGGCTTCGGCACTCTTCACAATTTATTATTCCCCATCCTTATATTTTATTTCCATGAAATTAATCTTACATAAATCTTGTCTCATGAACATGCATGTACTACTTTTCAATACTGATCATTAGATCAATTAATTNACTAAGGTTCATGTTATTTGAAGCTCATTTGGCCAATACTAGTTGAAACCCTGCACTTGCCGATAAGCCAGAGTTTTAAACAGAATTTACAGGGGTTCTGATTGAGGTTTTCGTTTTAAATAAATAAATTATATTCATACTCCTGCCAACATTAATCAGAATTGCAGGATATAATGATATTACCAGGCTCTAATTTATTAAAGCACTAAAACCATTCTAGTTTCTGAAGTAATTAAAATCAAACATAATACTGTTGCAAAACGATGCTTATCACTTATCAAGCATCTAATATAAAAAGTGGGCAATATTGCTTTACTGGCACAAGAAAAAAGATACATGTCAAATATATTAGTGTTCTCAATGTACATGGTAGGCAATATCCGTTTCGAATCTTTTTTCTTTCCCCCGGTTGGAACTAAACATCTTTCTTGAGTTACTGTTCTAGGTTTGCCAGATACTAACAATCAATTGGTTCATATAACTGGAGAGCTTTAATCCTCACTGTTTCTTCTTCTTGTGATGTTTACCCAGTTTTGAACCCCGCTGCTTAAACAAATGCAGGTAAAGCTTCAACCAGAGGAATGGGTAACACAAAAGCATAACCTGACCCAAGAAATTAATGTCATTAGCTAGAACATACTAAGGGAAAAGTTAATAGCACTAAAAGCAAAGAAAAAAATTCAGAAAGAAAAGTTTAAGTGTTATTATCATCTAGCAAATTGTATCTGTTGTAAAGTTTAGAAAAAAATGGTAAACATTAGCTCCTTATAATCCTGGTTGGACATAACTATATACTCTTAAATGAGTACTGAAACAGGGCCCCCTATTATAAGTTGGCCCTTGAAAGTCTTATACCTGTTACTGGACATCTAAGCCATCATTTTGGATTCTGGATTTTTCCAAATCTGGGGCTTATGTTGAAAGATAATAAAATTTCCACAGCTAAAAACCGTTACAATTTCAAGCATCAATCAATCATTTGCCTATTTTAGGACAAAATAATTTGTTATAATATCATGCTAGATAATCTAACTCAAAGGTTTGAGCTAATGGTGGGTTCCAATCAAAGCATAAGAAGCCATATTATACCATCAAACTTAACCAAAGCAAGATAATCTATTAAGTACAACCTATCCAGTATACAGGTGAGCATCCAATCCCGGATATTTTAACAATCATTAAAGTAGCCATAAAATTACCATTCATAAGTGGAGTCCCAAATTAAATATTACATCGTTCAAATTGTTCCAAGATGAGTAATATTTCATACCCCCAATTGAGTGCTTTTGATGCCAAAGAATTACTATGCGTCAAAAGAAAAATAAACTTCCTCATCCGTGTAAAATTAAGTTTTCCTCCTAAACACAAATTAAACAACAAACATACCCTGAGAAAATTGTAATAGCTGAAGGGAAGCACATCAAAGAAATCTGCATAGAGATTTTTCTTCTTTACATATGGAAGTGCTTCATACATGAGCCACACTGCAATAAGTGTGACAAACAATTAATAAAACAAATAGACATAAAAATGACAATAAATTAAATAAAGGCAAAAGCTTGATTAATGATATTTGTTGAATAACTATTTCAATCGTTAACTTTGATTAAAAGTGAGAGCAATAGAAATTCATGGACTCACTTTCACCAGGAAAAAGTCCTATAGGGTACAGCACAATGAATGCAGTGTACCTAAGAATCAGGAAAAAGTAACAAAACTATGAGTTACATAAGCTTCTACTTGCTACAGTTTGAGTTGTGTGCAGGTGACTGTGTGGAAGACATAAAACCTGAGGTATGTGATCCATGATGGACAAGTTCCAATGCTGTTTAAAGCATAAAACGGATACCTAATTACCTGCAACAAGAAGTTGATCATGTATACTGACACTAAGGCTCATGAAGCTGTATCAGAAATAGAACGGGAAATATATATCATTAATAAGAGATACATATCAACCACTTGCAAATGTTATGGAATGCATAGAAAAGATCAAGCTATGTAACAGATATCAAAAAATGTATCGTGTTCTGTAGAAAGAGAGTAGAGCAAAACGGCTAACAACTCAAACAAACATGAAAAAGTAAGTAGGAGAGTGATGCAATAGAATTTACTTGTGGAAACTATCTTGATGCATGCCAGAAAGTAGTGATAGAGATGATTTCCACCTAATTTCATGTGAACATATTAAACGAGATAATTTTTCCCACAAAATGAGCTTAAGCACCAAGTATATCATCAGAACATGAAGTAATTTTATAATAATGCTTTCAAATATTAGACTCCAGTTATGAAGTGTCACACTTGCTTCATTATAAAGTCCTCATATAAAATTATCCAAAATTCATCACAATTACAAGCCAACATACCTAGCCTTTAGAAGAGAAAGCATACAATTTGTAGATAACTACTCGATTCACTCACCTCACTGACACTCCAAGCAACAAAAGTTATGAAAACTGAAGGCAACTCCTGTACCTACAAAAATTTAAACGAGGAGAAATCATTATTTCAATAGGGAGATAAATTGCAAATTGAACGAGCATAAAAGAGGAAAGCCATAAAAACCTCATCAATAGTTCGAACAATTGATAGAAAGAAAAGAGTCCTTCCACCCCATTGCAGAAAAGGAAACAACACTCCACTTGGAACAATACCTTAAAATTCACAAAGGGTTAATGTTAAAACAAAATACCAAATCACACTGCCATAACAAACACAAAAATTCTCAAATCTTCCAGAAAGTATTTATTCAGTTACCTATAGCTCCGTGTATAACTTCCAAGAATGAACAAGTTTGTAGCAACCCTTCAGAACAAAAACAAAACTATTAACTTTGTTCCCCCATTTTTTTCATTAAAACAAAAAAGAAAGATAAAATGGACTACAAAAGTTAAACAAAGACTGACAGATTAGTTGTCCAGCAGAATCGTAAGCTACATGAATAGACTTGGTTGATAAAATGTTGGACAAGATACTAAACAGAGAAACTGCCCTGCCACACAAATAGAAAAAGAAAATACATAAATTCACAGAAAAACATAGAAAACAACATAATGACGGAGAAGTGAAAGAAGATTCTGACCAGCCAAGGGCCTGAAGAGAATTGTAAGTGAAGAGATAGAGCCTGGAAAGTAGATACATTGTTGTGGCTGGTATTGAGCAACAGTGTGGACAAAATCAGCATTCAGCGTGCTTTATCTTTGAAGTTGGATCTAGACAATTAACAGAGAAAGCGATGTGGGCTGGGATGGTGGTTGGATGGTTGGTCTCCTGTTTTATTAGGAATGGCCCCAGAAGCCCGAAACTTTTATGACTGAAAAATGTTTGATGAATTTTAAATATGGGGTTTTTTTTATGAGTAAGAGCCAAAATGAGAGAATGAAAATATATGTTGATGTTCATCTTAGGTCAGTTTATTTGTTATAAAGATGCTGTGATTTATCATCTATTTATATATAGGGACATAGGGTTATTTATATGAGTTAGTGTGTTTATTTTATGAAATTAATTAATTTTGCCAAAAATTGGGGATTATAATTACTAACTAACTCTCCGAATCCTATGCCTATATAACCACCAAATGGTAATGATAGGCCTCCCATACATAAGGTTTACAAATTGAAGGGGAAAAAGGGACACTAAGGGCAGAGAGTGAAGAAGAGTTAGTTAGGGGAATCTTATCTACGTGTCTGAATAATAGGAAGGGTGTGAGGAGTGTGTGAGCAAGGGTATTTTGTGAGATACTTAGTATAAATTGAAGGGATTAGTCTTGGGGAGGGTTAAGCAAAATTTTAAGGGAATTAATAGTGGAGGCACCTACCTTCTCGAACTGTTACGATTTTATCTAGTTACAATTGTTGCTTTTTACTTTATTCTTTGGTTCCATTCTTTTACTTAATACAATACTTAGTATATTCATTGAATTGTTTGTTCTCTCTTTATCTTTTGTACTTGCAATTTGTGTTGGAATTGGTTTGTTGTAGCAGGTGGGCATATCAATTAGTATCAGAGCCTGCCTGGATTTTTTTTTTTTTTGGGTATGGTTAAGTAAAAAATGGAAAACATAATGGAAGGGGTGGAGAAGGAAATGGGAAGTGTGAGAGAAGATCTGGATAGTCTCAAGACAGATGTGGGAAACCTCAAGGACTATCTCCTTGAGCTATGAGAATGGATGAGAATAAGGGATGAGAAAGAAGATACTCAGAATCGAGAGAAGAAGAAGATAGACATGACAAAAAACTCTAATAGTGAAGAGAGAGGGGTCTTTAATCGAACGAAGGAAAGAGATGACGGGAGAGAAGACAGGAAGTACAAGAAACTGGAGCTACTAGTTTTCAATGGTGAGGATCCTTTTGGATGGACTTTTTGAGCTGAAAGATATTTCCAAATCAACTGATTTGAAGAGGAGGAGAAGGTGGAAGCAACGGTGGTGTGTATGGAAGGGAGGGCTCTCCACTGGTATCAATAGGTAGAATCGAGATTGCCAATCCTATCCTGGGGGACGTTCAAATCGACGAATCGACGCTGATCAATTGGTTTAGGCCGTCATTCAGGGGATCAACCTACAAAGCTCTTGTTGCCATAAAGTAGGAAGGGACTATGACAGAGTACATGGAGCAATTTGAAACGATGGCAGTGCCTCTGCGGGAGCTAGGAGAAGATCTCCTAATGGGAGTGTTCCTAAATTGGTTGAAGGAGGAGGTGAGTGCTGATTTACGGTTGGTCTAGCCCAATTTGCCTTTTAGGTTAATGGATCAAGCCTACAAGGTGGAAGAGAGACTCTGGGTTTTAGAGAAAAAAAAGCCTAGAGGAAATAAGGTCCAATTCTGAAGAATACACCAATACTATGGGGTCGGCTCAATATTGGAAAACCCATGCCTAAATTGGGGAACAACCAATTCACGCCCCGCAGATTTAGGGCAAAGCTTATCAACACTTAACAAAAGTTTCGATCGCAAAAAGTGATCGGTGGAGACAACAACAACCAATTATCATGGAGACAATTTTTGACGACTATCAGATGCCGAGATTCAATACAAACGCAAACAGGGGTTGTGTTATCGCTGTGATGAGAAGTTTAGACCGAATCATAAATGTAAAAACAAATCCCTACAAGTGTTGCTGATCATGGACGACGAAAAATCAGAATAACCAGAGCCAGAGGCTGTAGCCGACGAAGAGCCCAACAGTGAAGGTACCCCTCTAGCTCTTTCGATGAATTCCATTGTGGGTATATCATCTGAAAAGACTCTAAAACTTAAGGGTCAAATTGGGGATGTGACTGTGCTTGTGTTGGTTGACAGTGAGGCATCCCATAATTTCATCTCCTACGAGATAGTTCAGAAGTTGGGGATGACGATGGATAAGAGGAAAGCCTTCGGGGTAATGGTGGGAAATGGGTGTACAATTCGGGATGAGGGTATTTGCAGAGTAGTTCAATTAGAATTGCAAGGGATTGAAATTCAACAAGATTTCTTCCCTTTTGAGCTAGGTGGGGCAAATATGGTGTTAGGAATAACATGGCTAAGTACCCTAGGAGATGTGTGCTTAAATTGGAGGAGGTTGACCATGTAATTCAATTATGAGGGGACAAGGGTAGTTTTGAAAGGGGACCCATCCTTGGTGAAGGCATCAGTATCTCTAAAGGCAATGCTCAGATCCTTATAAGCTACGGGAACTGGTTATGTATTGGAATTTGGCTCCATAGGGCTTAAGGAGGAACCGGGATTGGAGAAGATAGATCCTAGTGTGACTAGAGTGATAAAAGAATACAACTAACTATTTGACCAAACCACCAAATTACCTCCCCATAAAACCCATGACCATGCCATAGAACTTCAACCAGGATCCAGACCCCCAAACATCATATGTTACAAATACCCATACTTCCAAAAGAATCAGATTGAAAAACTGGTATGTGAGATGTTAGTGGCAGGAATAATACAACCCAATACCATCCCCTATGCTAGTCCTATCCTATTAGTTAAAAAGAAGGATGGTAGTTGGCCTTTTTTTGTGGACTACCATGCCCTAAATAACCTTATTATACCTGGTAAATTCCCATCCCCACAATTGAGAAATTATTAGATGAATTGGCAGGAGGTACGATATTTATTAAACTGGACCTTAAATCGGGGCATGACCAGATTCGAGTGAGGGAAGTAAATGTTCCAAAGACAGCCTTTAGAAGTCGTGAGGGACATTATGAGTTCCTGGTCATGCCATTTGGCCTTACCAATGCACCTTCAACCTTTCAAGCATTAATGAACTCCATTTTTAGACCTATCTTGAGGAAATTCATCTTGGTTTTCTTCGACAATATCCTTATCTATAGCCCAGACCTCCACACTCACCTTTGACACTTGAAACATGCCTTCTAGATTCTGAGAGATAATGAGTTGTTTTTAAATAAAAGAAGTGTTCTTTTGCACAAAGAAAACTGGAGTACTTGGGGCATTTGCTGTCGGAAAAAGGGGTAGGGTAGATCCACGTAAAATCAAGTCCATGACATCTTGGCCAACCCGAAGAATGTAAAGAGCCTAAGGGGATTTCTGAGATTAACAAGTTATTACAAGAGGTTTGTGAAAGGATATGGGGTCATTGCCAAACTCTTAACCCAATTACTTAAGAAGGACTATTTTAGTTGGAATGCAGAAGCTTAGGAAGCCTTCGAGAAGCTCAAAACAACGATGTCCACTATCCCTGTCTTTGTTGTACCAGATTTTTCCCTTCCTTTTGAGATTCAATTTGACACTTCTAGTTTGGCTATTGGGGTTGTCTTGGCACAAAAAGGCAGACCTGTGGTGTTCCTCAGCAAGGTATTTTCTTCTCAATCCAAACTAAAATTAGTGTATGAGAGGGAACTAATGGCTATAGTCTTTGCAGTGCACAAGTGGAAACATTCTCTCATTGACAGAAAATTCATCATCAAGACTAACCAACGCAGTCTACAATTTTTAATAGATCAAAGAGTTAAAACCCCAGAACAACATAAGTGAATCTCCAAACTCATGAGTTTCACTTTTGAGATTCAATACTACCTTGGGGCTACTAATCGGGTGGTAGATGCTCTATCTCAAAGGGAAGAAGGGGGTGTGTTTGTTGCCTTATCAGTAGTTTAGTTTTCAGAATACAAAGACCTTGTATCAAAGGCATAATACGATCCCAAACTTCAGGTAATTATCCAGGACCTCTTTTTTTATTCATCTAGCAAACCTTATCACAAACTTTACAAGGGTTGCCTCATTTACAAAAACAGGCTGGTGCTTCTTAAAGGTTCCAAGTTTATTCCAAGATTGTTGGAGAAGTTCAACTACAGTCCCAACGGGGGACATTCAAGTTTTTTTCAGACATTTAAAAGGGTGTCCAATGTCATGTTCTAAGAAGGAATTAGGAAAGATGTCCAAGAGTCTGTTAAGACATGTACCATATGTCAACTCAACAAACACTCATCCTTGAAGCCAGTTAGCCTTCTTCAGCCATTGCCCATTCCAATCTAGGTCTTCAAGGATATCTCCATGGATTTTGTTGGAGGGTTTACCAAGATAAAAAAGGGTGGATACTATACTTGTGGTGGTTGATCGCCTAACCAAATACAACCACTTCATCAGCCTTGGCCACCCCTATAATGTTAAGGAAGTTGCATTCCTCTTTATCAGGGAAATTGTCAAGCTTCATGGGTTCCCAAGCTCCATTGTTTCCGATAGTGACAAGGTGTTCATGAGTCAATTCTGGCTGGAGATATTCAAGGCAATTGGGACTAATCTGAAATTTAGTTTTGCCTATTACCCACAAGCGGATGGCCAAACCGAAATGGTTAACCGCTGCCTCGAAGCTTACCTTCATTGTTTCTATAGCTCCCAACCCTGGCAGTGGCCACATTGGCTATCCTGGGAAAACATTTGGTACAACACGACCTATCATAGCTCCACTCAAATAACCCTATTCAAAGCCCTCTATGGGAGGGATCCTCCCATCCTCTTGAAGTTTACAGATTATCCCTCCATAGTAAAGGATGTTAACCTCCAACTAACTAAGAGAAAGACANTCAAACAGTCCACATTGGCTACAGAAATGGAGCTTCCATTTTCAATACAGATTTGACTAAGCATATAAAAAGGGTTGGTATTTGGTTTGACTGAGCTCGAGGCTAATATAGAATTAAAGTTAGTCAAAAGTTTGAAGGGAGTACATAATGAGTTTCTTTTTGTTGGAAAAACACTTAACAAAAAAGCATTAAGGCTAATCTACAATAATGGTTTGGTGTTAAGTAGGTGTAAGTGCGGCAAAGAATATAAAGAAATAATGAAGCTTGGTATTGTCTCCTGCTTTTTAAGTTTAACTTATATGTGAAAGAGTTTATGGTATCTCTACATAAAAAAGTAGTCTATAAAAAGCAAATGAAATTGTAAAGGAGACTCAAATGACGGAAGATTTTCTTTTTTGCACAAGTCCAAACTATCATTGCTGTTAATAATGAATTTATCCTTCCTAGGAGTGAAAAACGAGTCGAGTTCGAGTAACTCGAATAAGTATTCGAGTCGAGTTTGATCACGATACAACTTGACTCGAAAAGCTCAATTAAGCTCGAAAAGTTTGAAAAGCTTGATTAAACTCAATTCTATGAATTTGAATTCGAACTCGAATTCTAATTTCAGGTGCCAAGTTCTAGTTCGAACTTAATTCCTTAGGCTCGCTCGATCAAGTTTGAATTCAAACTCGAATTTGATACTGTTGCAATCGAGTCGACCCGACTTCAATGAGAATTTGTGAATGCATTTAGTGATGTAGCAATTTATGGAATTAATATTTTATAGATGTGAAACGGTTAACACAGTGTGAATAACATTGTGGTGGCGTATGAAAACATTAATTAATTATAAGAAGAGATTAGTCATGGGATTGGGAGTTGATTCCGCGCATGACTCCATCTCCGCGTGGTAAACGGAAATTAATTTCCATTTCCAGTGAAGGGCCGGTCACTAGGGGTAAATGCCGGTCACTAGAGGGTAAATCTCATTAAAAGATCAATCGATTAGGATTTATCATTACTGTATTTATTAGTGTACCAAAAGAAGAAACTAAATTGACTACTAATTTCGTCATTCATTCTTCTAGAATTTATGCATTAAATAACATTATATATATATCTTTACAATCCATTAATTTTTTTTTTTTTTTATTATTTGAAGTGTCTAGGCCAATTTACATGCACCTCAACTAGTCTCTTGGGATTGAAACTACCGATCGGATAAGAGCTCCAGTGGTTACCCCTATTAACAACCGAGGAAAAACTCAAACTTATAACCTCTTGAATAATACATCCAATAATCCTTATTGAATCACTTGACCACACAGAAGTAGTTCAACCCATTAAATTCGTTGCGCCAACCTTTTCCATTTCAAACTTGAAACAGTTGAAAGGGTAACCCGACTCGGAGAAGACCCCAGGTCTTGGTCCAACCGGTTAAACCGACTAGGCCGGTCCGGGTTTTAAAACCTTACTTGAATATATTACTCAAAAAGTTTTGAGTTCGATCACACTTGGTTACTAAGATGGATGACTGCTGAAGGATTACGCGGTCATTAACTTCAAGGCTTCGGGGGATTAGTTGAGGTGTGCACAAGCTGACCCAAACAACCCCGGTAAAATAAAAATAAAAATTGAGAGTAGTATTATTTAAGCCCCATCAACGCTTTTAATTTAGCCCCAATTTAAATGATATTACCAAAACCCTCTCATCTTCTTCCTATCTAAACTTTAAAGGAATACTAAATAATATTGGAATTTAAATTTTACTGGATACTTCATTAACAAAATAATGAAATATTATCTAAAAAAGGGAATAAAATCATAATCAATTAATACAATTAAACTTTCTTAAATTTTTAAAATTGCAGAACCTTTAAAATACCTCTCTAATTCTTGTTTTTTGAAGCTGTATCTCAGCTCAATTTGATTAAATGAGTCTAGGAGCCCATTATGTACAAACCCAAAATCGCTGCATGAACATGGGTTCCAAAAAGAAGTTGGGCTGACAGTCTAATATGTGGCCTCAATTTCAAACCCAAAAGGTCTAAAGAAAAAGCATCCGAACGTCGTGCGCTCACGTCTCTGCATGTATTTTAGATAACATTAGGATAACGTAAAGAAAAAACAATAAACTTTGACTAAACATTAATGATAATATTCATGTTACAATACAAGATCCTTTAAAACTTGAAACTTGATTACATGCACGAGAAAAAGATTGTAATCAGAGAAGATTTAAAGAAGCCGAAGGAATAACCACTGTGCTTGATTCTAGGGCGACGAAGAACCTGATGAACCGTAGAATACGTCAAAATTCAATGGACTCGCCATAATTTCAGGTCCAAAGCTGTTATCTGTTGTCAGTTGGTTCAAAGAAGAGAAATTTCACAAAGCAAAATGAAAGCTTCAAGTTTCCCCAAATCTGACTCTTTTTAACTGATTATTTATACTTTAATACTACCTGTTATCTGTTGGTTATGATAATTTTGGTATCTGCAGAAACTTATAATTAATTAAATTATATAAACTAAATCTTGCCAAATTAGGATGAATGAGTTGGATTTAGATCCATTAGAGGCCTATATGTAGTAGCCATATTCTTCTTCCAAAATATAAACAACAAATAGAAGTAAACTTTGGTCGACGGCCATTGAATGTTTCATATAAAGTATTGGAAACCAGATAAGATTAAAAAAAGGTGTGAGAAGCGATGGCGGACAATGAAATTTAAAAAAATGGCACTTGATCAAGCATATTCCAGGACAAGATAAAAACGAATGACTATTAATATTATTATAATTACATCAAGGTCGGTTCGATAGTCACTTGTGCTTATATATTTTCAATCAGAAATGCCAAGTCCACCATCTCCCCACATTACCTACTTCATTTTCAATCACCATTAACAGCTCATTTGAGCTTTTCTTCTGATCTAATCCATTTAATGTAGTTGCTTAATTATGTAATTAGAGAGCATAAAGTGAACATGTTATTGTCAGTTTTATCATATAAAATGCAGCTACACCAATTAAAAATTTGCCTTATGTCATCCATATTATTTGTTTTAATTTTGTTTGTGTTGGGTTTTTATTTTGAGTGAGCTTGCGTTGACATCATTTTGGTTTAGTTGATTAAAGCGTTTATTGATTAGTTCTAATTATAATTTAATTATACTTTTTTAGATGAAATTAGAGATAGAAAACAAGTTTGTTTATATAAGTCCACTAAAGTACTTAGTATCAGGAAAGGAATTTCTTAGATTTGGTAAGTTTTAGCTTTACTGTTTAATAATCCATGAAGTACAATTTTATTGAGCATATATATATATATATATATATATATATATTAAGTGAGATTATTGTGAGTTTTAATTATAAATATCAAATGAAAAATAAAAATGGATTAAACAGTGAATTAATAAGGGTAACTGATGCTGTCAGCTGCTTAAGATGTGAGATAAGCAATGTAAAAGGCCGAAAATGTAGAAAATTAGAATCCTAGGACATGACATAATATGATCAATTATTAGGTGATGAAGACATTACAGTCGGAAAATTTTAATATCAATATTGTTTTATTTATGTATACACATCTATACAACTTTAAAAAAAAAAAAAAAAAAAAAAAATTTGACTAATAATATTTACTAAACTCTACTGATGACGAAAATCAGAGTTATAAACTATCTTTGGGTGATCGAGTAATTCGATAGAAACTCTTAGATGTATTATTCAAAATATTTTGAGTTTGAGTCCCTCATCGATTGCTAATAGAGATAGTCACTGAAACTTTTATTCGATCTGTAGTTCTAGGATCTCAAGAGATTAATTAAGGTATGTTTAAACTAACTCGAACACCTTCGGTCATCAAAAGAAAAAAAAAAGTTACAATTGTGTGTTTTGGATATGCAGTATGTATTATTGCTTGCACTTTAAGACATAATTAACTGTTAGTTGTTCCAATATACTTATAATTAGATCTTGTTATAATCTGATCCCCTCTTCTCTCATTATACTTAATACCAACTCTTTCTTATTATGTACACTTAATCAAGCATTTAAATTAGCTTACTCTAACATGACGTGGAGCATCATGCCTTCCAAAGCAGTGACTTTTTATTCACTTCATGGGCCCTCCTCCGAATCAGACGGCTAAATTTGCTACATCATCATCCCATCTGTGAGTCTGATGCCATCAACTATTTACGGTCGCCCACTAAACAAAAACTAATTCCAATCAAGTTTAATTTAATAAACTTGATTACTGCATGATAATGAAGCCAGCATAACTAACCACTGATGGTCCACGTCACCTCTCAATAAACAATCACATGGTCGGTCAGCAATCATTGTAGGACCCATGCACACCTCCATTTGGTCGGTGTTCAACGCTTCTCCATTCTCCATTGGCCGGTCTTAGTCACATCAGCCATACACGTGGCATGATGGGAACGAAAGGGAGGCCCACCTAATATTTTTCATGGACAATTACAGATGGCTGCCAGTGAATGCTGCCCTTATTCTTTCTCGTTTAATAAAATATATACGCTCTGTTACCGGATAGTAACCGGTTCCGACTCCACTATATATAAACTACCCACTATACTGAACTCAGAACACCAACAACAGCAATCACAATTTTTGGCTTTTTAAGCGCTACACCTCAAAGCTTAAACCAAATTTTCCCTTCCCAAAAATGCCCGGACTTGCAGTTGGAACGCCTGCCGAATTCGGCCAACCCGATGCTCTCAGGGCGGGTCTCGCTGAGTTCATCTCAATGCTTATTTTCGTTTTTGCCGGTGAAGGATCCGGCATGGCCTTCAGTAAGCCTCCTCCTTTAATTTCACTTTTGTTTGTTTAAGATGTTAGTTATGTTATATATACAATTTGACGTTGTCAACTAATTAAATGAGAAATATTTTGACAGACAAGCTGACTGACGATGCCTCAACAACACCTGCTGGTCTAGTAGCAGCTGCAGTTGCTCATGCCTTTGCACTGTTCGTGGCAGTTGCAGTTGGTGCTAACATTTCCGGTGGACATGTGAACCCCGCTGTTACATTCGGTGCCTTCGTTGGTGGCCACATTACCCTTGTCAGGAGTGTTGTGTACTGGGTTGCCCAGTGCCTCGGATCCGTCGTTGCTTGCTTGCTTCTCAAGTTCGCAACCGGTGGACTGGTTAGTACTTAATTTAACAATGAATATTTTTTATTGAAAAGTTTATATTATTCACATTTGCTAACGCATGCATGAACTCAAAATGTTTAAAACTTGATATATCCTGCAGACAACGTCTGCTTTCTCTCTTTCATCCGGTGTTAGTGCATGGAACGCACTTGTTTTTGAGATTGTGATGACCTTCGGTTTGGTGTACACCGTGTACGCCACAGCCGTCGACCCAAAGAAGGGAAACATTGGAATCATTGCACCCATTGCAATTGGTTTCATTGTTGGCGCAAACATCTTGGCCGGTGGTGCTTTTGATGGTGCATCAATGAACCCTGCCGTTTCCTTCGGCCCAGCAGTTGTTAGCTGGACATGGGACAACCACTGGGTGTACTGGCTCGGCCCATTCATCGGTTCCGCCATTGCTGCCGTCGTCTACTCCATCTTCTTCATTGCTCCAAGCACACATGAGCCTCTCCCAAGCACAGACTTTTAAGAAATGAGTCTGTTTCATGCCAAAAAATTGAGTTGAAAGTTGGGGTGGATCTATTTGGTTTCGATTTGTTGGTGGTTTGCTGTTTGTTTGTATGTGAGGCTTTGTTAATTTGTCCAATTAATCCTGTGAACTAGTCTTGTTTTTGTTCAATATTTTTCTTCCTTAAATTTGTAATGTTTTAGGTAGACATGACGGTTTTACTTTAAATAATTAGCGTCAGCAGCTGCCACACATTACATTCAATATTGAAGGCCAACACTATTAAATCCATTTCCTCCAGACCCACAGATTAGCTGGTGTTTAAAGGAATAAGGACCACAATTAGTGTGAAATGTTGGTGCGTAATCACTCCATTTAAAAATTAAAAGTGCAAAAAATAATATGATAAATATAAAGATTAGAAAGGAGGTTGTTCAGAATCTAGTGCTACAAATCAGCATCTAATAGACCCAATGTCCAGCCCAAAGGACACTCCAACCAACCTTTAGCTACAAATCAGAGATCCGGAACTTCCTCAAACAATCGGTGTTTAAAACCAATGTTTTAATAACCAACCTGAGTTGAACCTGGCAAAGTTATCGGATCCTGGGTTTCAAACCCGGTGACAAAACTTTTAAAATTCAACAAATACACTCCTAAAAATTATAATAAATCCCTATGAATTTGAAATTTAGCAAACACACCCCAAACATAAATAGGTCGGCGACTGGTTGGTGGCAGCGACACTTTAAATGCAATCTCAATCATCTCTTGAGCCCATTCTCTAGAAAATCTACTCAAGATCTGGCAGAAATGGAAGATCTCTCAGATGTCGGCGTCATCATTCGAAGCCAAATCTCATCAACGTCGGCGTCATCATTCCAGTTCAGATCTCACTGATGTCAGCGTCAAAAACCCTCCCCATCACCCTGAAGATACTCCCCTCTTTCTCCTGACCAAAACGCACCTCACCCCACCCCTGTTAGCCTTGCCAATCGCCGGTTGTTGCCGCCGTTGTTGGTTTTTTGATTTTCGATCAATTTACTCACCAGAAATCAACTTCGTCACCATTATTGCACTCACCGACACTTTTTCTTCAAAAACCCAACATCTCTACCTTCAATTGTTTGTCGATCATCATCTCAAATTTAAGGTTTTGACTGAATAGGGAAAATGTTAACCCGACCCAGTGAAGCTCTCAGGTCCCAATTAAACCTGTTAAACCGGCCAGGCCGGGTCGGGTTTTAAAATAGTATTTAAAACATGGAGTTAGCTGAGAATCCAATTTTGTAAGGGAAAAATTAATTAATGCTAAATTATTTATATTAAATTATTAATTATACACCTTTGATGTCTTTAATTTAGTTATAATGGTCTTTGACGAGTTTTCATATTTTTTTTTTTTTTTTTTTAATGATTGGTGGTGTCTAGACCAGTTTACATGCACTTCAACTAATCTCATAAGACTCCTAAAACTACTCAACCGAATAAAAAGCTCCAAGGACTATCCCTAGTAGCAATCGGGGAGACTTAAACTAAGAACCTCTGAATAATACACCAAGAATCCATTGAACCTTGTTTTCATATTTTTAAAGAACTATATGGTAATTTTGTTATTAAATGTTAAAGAAATCAGTTTTAGATGTTGTAAATTCGGATGAAATTTAGACTCAAACTTCTTCCATTTTTTATTATTTTTTGAAATGGAAAACCTTTGAAAAAGTTTTGGAAAGTTTAAGGAAATATATTACTTATACTTACATTTTGAGAGAAGGTAATTAGTGATGAAATGTGTGATGTTTAGGGGAACTTACATGTGAATGTTATATGTATTAATTTAAAAGTTCAAAGATAATTGAATGAATAATAATTGCTTGAATCTCGATACTGCTTTTGGCTAAAAATTACATCATGTTTAATTAAAATTTATATTGACAAACAGAAAAAGAAAAAGAAGTTAAAAGTGATATTGAGATTTGTTAATTTTAAAATTTTGAAAAGATAATAGGCAATATTGGGTATTATTTGTATAAGAATTTTTGTAAAGTCAAGGAGGACCAAGTCTTCCTCTATGATTGAAAAAATGAGAATGACAAAAACGTCCATCTAAACACAAATTTAATTGCATAATATATATATAGAATATATATACAAAGTTCATAATATACATGTATCTAGTAACTTATATAATTAATTTAAATTTAAAACTGGACTTACAGATAAAGTTTGAAACAGGTCAGGCAGGCAAAAAACCCAGGTAGGGTTTAATTATTTCAGTTTTGTGATGAGGATGTTTGGCTTGCGCATATTTGACTAATCTCAAAAGTCTTAAAGTTTATGACCGAGTAAACCTTTAGTAGTTATCCTATTAACATTAGTTGACTTGAAATCAAAAACCTTTGAGTAATACACCAAAAAGTTTTATCCAACCACTAAGTACTGATGGTTAACCAAGGTTCATGTATTTGAAGCTATTCGCCAATCCTAGTTGAAAACCTGCACTTGCCGATAGCCAGAGTTTAAACAGAATTTACAGGGGTTTGATGAGGTTTCGTTTTAAATAAATAAATTATATTCATACTCCTGCCAACATTAATCAGAATTGCAGGATAAGATATACAGGCTCTAATTATTAAAGCACTAAAACCATTCTAGTTTCTGAAGTAATTAAAATCAAACATAATATGTTGCAAAACGATGTTATAACTTATCAAGGATCTAATATAAATAGTGGGCATAATATGCTTTTACTGGCACAAGAAAAAAGATACATGTCAAATATATTAGTGCTCTCATGTACATGTAGGCAATATCCGTTCGAATCTTTTTTCTTCCCCGGTTGGAACTAAACATCTTTCTGAGTTACTGTTCTAGGTTTGCCAGATATAACAATCAATTGGTTCATTAACTGGAGAGCTTTAACTCAATGTTTCTCTTCTTGTGATGTTTACCCAGTTTTGAACCCGCTGCTTAAACAAATGCAGGTAAAGCTTCAACCGAGGAAATGGGTAACACAAAAGCATAACCTGACCAAGAAATTAATGTCATTAGCTAGAACATACTAAGGAAAAGTTAATAGCACTAAAAGCAAAGAAAAAAATTCAGAAAGAAAATTAAGTGTATTATCATCTAGCAAATTGTATCTGTTGTAAGTTTAGAAAAAAAATGGTAAACATTAGCTCCTTATAATCCTGGTTGGACATACTATTACTCTCAAATGAGTACTGAAACCAAGCTGCTGTTATAAGCTGGCCCTTGAACGCTTATACCTGTTACTGGACATCTAGCCATCATTTGGATTTCGGGATTTTTCTTAATCGGGGCTTATGTTGAAAGAGTAATAAATTTCCACAGCTTAAAAACCGTTACAATTTCAAGCATCAATCAATCATTTGCCTATTTTAGGACAAAATAATTGTATAATATCATGCTAGATAATCTAACTCAAAGGTTTGAGCTAATGGTGGGGTTCCAGTCAAAGCAAAAGAAGCCATATTATACCATCAAACTTAACCAAAGCAAGATAATCTATTAAGTACAACTATCCAGTATACAGGTGAGCATCCCATCCCGGATATTTTAACAATCATTAAATAGCCATAAAATTACCATTCATAAGTGGAGTCCCAAATTAAATATACATAGTTCAAATTGATCAAGATGAGTAATATTTCATACCCCCATTGAGTGCTTTTGATGTCAAAGAAATACTATGCGTCAAAAGAAAAATAAACTTCCTCATCCGTGTAAAATTAAGTTTTCCTCATAAACACAAATTAACAACAACATACCCTGAGAAAATTGTAATAGCTGAAGGGAAGCACATCAAAGAAATATGCATAGAGATTTTTTTCTTTACATATGGAAGTGCTTCTATACAGAGCCACACTGCAATAAGTGTGATAAACAATTATAAAACAAATAGACATAAAAATGACAATAAATTAAATAAAGGCAAAAGTTGATCCTAATGATATTTGAGAATAACTATTTTAATCGTTAACTTTGATTAAAAGTGAGAGCAATAGAAATTCATGGACTCACTTCACCAGAAAAAAGTCCATAGGGTACAGCACAATGAATGCAGTGTACCTAAGAATCAGGAAAAAGTAACAAAACTATGAGTTACATCAGCTTCTACTTGCTACAGTTTGTGTTGTGTGCAGGTGACTGTGTGGAAGACATAAAAAACTGAGGTATGTGACCAATGTGGACAAGTTCCAATGCTGTTTAAAGCATAAAATGGATACCTAATTACCTGCAACAAGAATTTGATCATGTATATGACACTAAGGCTCATGAAGCTGTATCAGAAATAGAACGGGGGAATATATATCATTAATAAGAGATACATATCAACCACTTGAAATGTTATGGAATGCATAGAAAAGATCAAGCTATGTAACAGATATCAAAAAATGTATCGTGTTCTGTAGAAAGAGAGTAGAGCAAAACGGCTAACAACTCAAACAAACATGAAAAAGTAAGTAGGAGAGTGTGATGCAATAGAATTACTTGTGGAAACTATCTTGATGCATGCCAGAAAGTAGTGATAGAGATGATTTCCACCTAATTTCATGTGAACATATTAAACGAGATATTTTTCCACAAAATGTGCTTAAGCCCAAGTATATCTCAGAACATGAAAGTAATTTTATAATAATGCTTTCAAAATATAGACTCCAGTTATGAAGTGCACACTTGCCTCATTATAAAGTCCTCATATAAAATTATCCCAAATTCATCACGATTACAAGCCAACATACCTAGCCTTTAGAAGAGAAAGCATACAATTTGTAGATAACTACTCGATTCACTCACCTCACGACACTCCAAGCAACAAAAGTTATGAAAACTGAAGGCAACTTGTACCTACAAAAATTTTAAACGAGGAGAAATCATTTTTCAATAGGGAGATAAATTGCAAATTGAACGAGCATATAAACGAGGAAAGCCATAAAAAAACTCATCAATAGTTCGAACAATTGATAGAAAGAAAAGAGTCCTTCCACCCATTGCAGAAAAGGAAACAAACACTCCACTTGGAACAATACCTTAAAATTCACACAAGGGTTAATGTTAAAACAAAATACCAAATCACACTGCCATAACAAACACAAAAATTCTCAAATCTTCCAGAAGTATTTATTCATTACTATAGCTCCATGTAAACTTCCAAGAATGAAACAAGTTTGTTAGCAACCCTTCAGAACAAAAACAAAAACTATAACTTTGTTCCCCATTTTTTTCATTAAAACAAAAAG